AGGCATAAATACTTTTGTGCTGACCTGTACCTACTCTTATTTCTTAATTAAAAAGAAAGAAATGCTATGAAATTGAATGTCGCTGAAACAGAACCCTACCTTCACATCATTCCTTTCATATAGGCCCTTCACACAGGCCAGGCCAAAACCAGGCTTTAAACAGACACTCTCGCCAGGGCTAAGACAAATGGAAACGCTATCACCAACAGCATTCCTCTTGCTTCTGATTCTAGGTAGAAAAATGCCACTAATAGTTCACAACTTTTTTCTAAGTGGATGTAGAATGGTAGAGTGAACAAAGCACAGGGTCCACAGTAAGAGAAACAAAGTTTCTCTTCTTGAGCCTAAACTTCATCACTAACTAGCTGTGTCACTATGGGCAGGTTACTTAATTTCTCTGACCTACAGCATCTGTAAAATTAGGACGGGAAAGTATTAAGAAAAAAACTGTTTTATTAGTACATCAGAATCACTCTCAAGTGTTTAGAATGGCCTTATTCCATACAACGGAATATTATTCAGCAACAAAAAGGAATGAAGTTTTGATACATACTATACCTTGGATAAACGTTGAAAATGTGTTAAGAGGAATAAGTGAGAAACAAAAGGACATACATTTTATGATTCTATTGATATGAAATGACCAGAATAGGCACACTCTGTGGAGAGACAGAAAAGTAGATTGGTGGCTCTCCAGAGGTGGGGGTGGGAGTGGCTGCTAATGCGTATGAGGTTTCTTTTTGAGAGGACAAAACTGTCCTAAAATTAGATTGTACTGATTGTACACTTTAAATGGGCAAATTATATGTTACGTGAATTACATATAATTGTCTTTAAACAATGATCTTGTTCAGGATCCTGAGTTGAAAAAGGAACATGTAAATAAATATTCCCATCCTATCCCCTCCCTAAGAATGGAGTAAAAGTAATGACTCAGCTGCAATAGATATGCATTTACTAGTAAAGTGACCAGACTACTTTTGTTTAACAAATATACATGAAATTACAAATCCAAATGAGTCTACCCCAAAGAAAGAGTTACCTTAATGATGCCCTAAGTCAAAATTAGGTCCTCAGAGTCTCAATTTGGGTAGTTCTTTCTACTTGCAACACCTTTGCTATCACATCTTTAAATGTTCAAATCCCACCGAACTTTAAGACCAGTTCAAATGTTACATCTTCCATGAAGCCTTCTGCATGCTCTCCTGAAAAGTAATGTCACATTTCTTTGAACTTCCATGGTCCTTCACTTCCGTAGGGCCACCTTGGACTTTCAGACCAACATTATACTTATTCTGCCCAGTATCAACTTATTGCTTTGACATCAAAAAAGGGTCTCAATAAATAACCTATTTAATAAGTGGATGATGATTGCTTAACAATTGAGAATTTCATTTTCACCTGATAAATATTAATTTTTGAAATATCCAAAAGTCATTTAGACTCAAGAATGGTCCATGAAGTAGCAGGGCTAAGGAATGCCCACTTTGGAAAAAACTTTCATGACCAAAATAAAACAAGACTGATTTGACATATTTATGTATATAATCCGTAAGGGATTCCCAAACAGAAGCAGTGAAATAAGGACATAACCTCCCAAGGTAACTGAAAGAAACCTGAATGATATAAATTCCAGAATATTTATTTAAAAATCTGTTTCATTATTTTATAGTGATACTACATTTTTTCCTGAGTTCTATTATCAAGTTCTATTAATTCCTCTTATTCTATGTTTCTAATAGATATCACTTCTAATTCCTTCTCCATTTTCCCCACCATAGTAAAAAATCCAGGCCCTCATTTTCTTCATGATCAACCAATTTTTTAAATCTCCTAATTTATCTCCCTTCCCCACAGTTCCTTCTTTCCTTCAACAATATTTATGAAGCCATTGTGTGTGGGGAAGAACTGAGGAGCACATAAAGAAATATCAAACGAGGCCTGTTCTCCAGAAACAATCAAGTTGGGACGTTGACACATGAACACGACTCATCGCAATACGCAGCAGCACAGACTTAAGGGCCACAGGTGACACTGGTAATAACAAGCAACGGGTAGGTCCTCTGGCCTCCCCAGAACACAGTCTGTATCTCCTTCACTCTATTCTCCTCCTCTCTCCCACTCTTTGTTCATCTTAC